GTATTTGAGTTATAGTTTACACAGAATGGAGGTTTAGTTATGATTTATATGTCTTTATATGTCTCAGCTTATGATTAAAATGGAAATCTGGATAAAAACATTTGATAAGCACAATACCTTATAATACCATAATACAATACCTCATAAAGCAAGTCAGTGTAGTTTTCTTACACTTTTGTTTTTGCATTAGTGCAGAGACAGCTTGTGGCATATGGTCTAATCATCTGTAAAACTACTACTAAATTTACAACAACAACTCTCACCTGTGGAAGTGTAAATTATCTGCACTGAACCTCATCATTTACTGGCTTCAGCACATGCTTGCCCTTTGTAATTGTCTCAAGCTCAAAATGTTCAATTTCACAGCAAGGAGGGGACTGATGTTTTCAAAGTAATAAAGTCACATAATAATTTTTAGTCGTGTTTCCTCTTTCAAAAAGAGCAAATGACCGATTGACATATTCATGTTCAACAATTTTATTATCAGGCTGTGTTATAGTGGCCTTGGTTTAGAGGCTTAAAAGCTCAAAGAACATTGTTTCAGGCTACAGGCAGGAACTTACACAATTTAACAATTTGACTGGACTGCTTCAAGTAATTAAACAAGTCTGAAAAGTTATTACATTAGTTTATGATTAAAAAAAATATTCTGCTGTCTACATGCAACATGGCCAGTGATTGGTTTCCCCCCACAGCCAGTGCAGTTCCCAGTGTCTGATTAGAATTTTAACTGTAACTTACTGAAGTAAATGAGCTGCTGCACATCATACAGTGAAACTTAAAGAATACCTTCTCTAATCCTATTACAATTTTGAATTGTTCAGTTCCCCATTTCCCCCAGCTGTCAGATTATGGTCTGCATCCCAGAAAAGCCCATATTCTGTTTTTGGCGCCCTATTAGCATCATTTCGTCCATCAAGCGACATTAATTGTGAATGAATGCAAACTCATGCAGAAGAATAAGGTCTTCAAGAGGCCTGTCACATACTTTCTCCACTTGGGAAGACCTTTAACCTACTTAGCTGAGGAACCGCACCGTTTCAAGTAGTGCAGCTGAAAGATATGCACCTGCCCGCTTTTTACTCTCACACTGCTTGGCGATTTAAGAGGAGAGAAAGTATTTGATCTAAATGGTACTACACTCACTGCAGGTGTGGAATTTCCTCCAAAAATGTCCGCACCAATTCAGCCACTGGGCTGGCCACAACACAGATGTGGTTTAAATCCAACGTTTGGATTGAAGAAGACAATTCATGCGTCTTGGTGTTGCAAGATTTAAGGTTTCAGTGTCAGTATTCAAAGTTCAAAATGGTGTTTCGTTTCTGCTTCACGGAATACTAAATTATTTCGTGCGTAATAACTCTAGAAAAAAATTCTTCCAATACCTTGGAAGAAAACGCCTTTCAGAGCCACAGACATTTTGCTATTAACTTAAATGTCTTTCGCTAGTAAATCGCTTGTTGTTTGGTAAGAAATAATTATGAGAAAATTATTTTCACGTTTTCTGTTGTCTGACATTAAAGGGTTTATAATAAAATAATTGGAAGACTTCACATAGCTTTGACTTCTTTCCACATCCAATATATTTATGTTTATCCCCTAATTTAGAGATAACAATCGCAGTAGTAAAGGAGGCAGTAGTGCATAATTGCACTTTTTCGAATCGCACTAAACCAGCGTGTTTTGTTTGTATTGTTTAAGTCTACCTCTTTTGGAACCAGACCCACGGCGCATACTGTTCTTTAAATTAGTGACAGATGAACTGATAACATAACCCTTGATATCTAAGACGTGCACTGAGGGGTCCAAGACAAAGGACAAAGTATGTCCACAGGGCATGCGTAAATTACGCACGCAAAATGTAACATGGATTTTGGTTTTATGATAGTAGTGCACTGGCATTTATCATTTAATCTTTAATCTTTTTTCACTTGCCAAAAATCATGCAAACTGCAGGAAGAGGAAAATTAAGAGAAAACTGGAAAGCCCTCACCATTTATGGTATTTACTTTTTTGCTTTGTAGAGGAAAAAGTTGAAAGTTAAGTTAAAGATTTAAGGGCTGTGAGACAACATGCGCTTTGTGCTCGGCCGGTGTGTGGTTGCGGTTGCAGGTCAGGACCCTGGCCCTTCAGCCATCTCTCCACATCTCTCAGGGTATTGAACTAGCAAGGACGAGATGGAGAAAAGCAATTCAGCAACCAGGCGCTTTGGTCCATCTGCTATACTTTGCTTTGCTGAGGTGAGGGGGGTGGGGTGATGATATTGGAAAAAGGTTGTCTGTAATATAAAATACATAAATGGGTTGTTATTTGGTTTGGGTTAACAATACTTAAATGGTCCGGTGAATGTTTCCACCTAATTTATTGGAAAATTGGTGAAAATGTCATTTTTATTTGCACCCATAAGTCTTATAATTAATGCGCACAATACCGGATGATTTAATCACTCGTGGCAAGGAATGCTTGGCATTCACCTCCCTATATAATAATGGGACACTCGGTTGTCATTCTTTCATGACAGGCTTTGATTTCTATAGCAATTAAGTAATTCTAAAAAGCTTGTGAAATATTTTCCAAGGAAAATTACCGAGAAAGTTTGAGAGTTCCATTAAGGAGTCTACAGAAAGTAGAATTTTAAAAGCGTGTAGTTACAGGTAAGGCAAGACAGTTACAACGCAAAGTAACACACGGCCCCCGTGCGTAATTCTGGGACTAATATTTTTCCTCGCCACGCAGGGTACCACTTATTCTTCTTGAGGCTGCAAGGATCACTGTAGGATAAATTAAATGACTATACTGTGTGGTATTTATCAGTATGTATCATACACGCTGGTTGTATCCTGTAAACACACAGCAACAAGCTTTATCCAATACCTGTTAACACAAACAGCTGCAAAAAGGTTTGGTAATCTAAATGATCTTCTCTATAAATGTGCCCGATGTATTAACAAACCTTTGCTGGGCCTTCTTCATAGTTCCTAGGCGCGTCCGTTTGTGCCGCTCCAGCTGCCTTGGCCACATTTTATTCACTGGATGTTAAAGTTGACTTAGATTGACAACTATATTAATGTGGACTATAAGCTCTCTTAAGCGTTGCATGCAGCTAACCAGCTCCAGATTTTTATGGGATCCTAATGTGGAGGGTCTGTGGACCAGGGTCCTGCTCTCTGACTCAGTAATCCACAAGGTTGAGAGGTTTGCCTCATTTACATAATGTTAGAGGTCTGGGCCGAGGCCTACCTTTCTTTTCGCCCTGAAAAGACACCACGCCGCTGCTGCCAAAACAGTGGAAAAGGCGCACAGAAGTCTGGACAAGTACAGGAATAGATGCAGGTAGGAAATGTTACTTGTGAGAAATTACTTGATTTTCCTAACATTGATACTTTGATAGAAATATGACATTTTTACTGAGAGTACTTGGTTTACACCCCCCTTGTCAAACAGATTTTTACTTTTAGGATTCTTGTTTCGGCGTCTTTCTGACAACTATGGCTGACTTTGGAATACGCATGCATTGTTTTGTTTCTCACAGCAACAATTAAGTCCAACCACTTCACGTTAAATCCGCGGAGTCCAGGTATCTGAAGATAAAGGGAGAGGAAATTCGGGCAATGAAATATGCATAAGAACAATGATTTATCACAATCAGGCTATCAACTTAACCGGAGATTGGTGTTCTTGATATGTCGCTGTAATTGATGGCTGACCATGTCACATCTTCAGTTGCTCAATTAGGGTAGGCAGCTACTTGCTGCCATGCCATGCTAAATTACATTAGTGGCTTCATGCAGACGAGTGTTTCCTTCCTTAAATAAAGGAAGATGGTAACACGTCTGGAAAACAACCTTAACGCAACACACCTGCTCCTGCTGCTGGTGATGACAGTGTTGAAAAAATATAATTTAAAACAAATACCATCATTGTTCTGATTATATGCGTTTATGAGCAGCATGATAGCCATCTCTCTCTATTATTGGATAGTTGTGAGCTATAGGCTCAATAACGCGTTATAGAGCCACAAGGGACACGTTAGGCTATAATGGGAAGCTATATTAACTGGTATTCATTATTGCAATTTGTAGGAGCTCTTTTCTCTTTTGACCCCCCTGTTGTGTGTCTCTCCCTCTGATTCTTCCCCTGGCGCCAGTCAGTTTGCTCAGAGATTACAATGTCAGATCAAGACTGCAAAGTGTCATTAATGTATGGTGACCTGAGTCGAGGGTTTGAGGCTTACGATATTGTCTCCAAATTGCATTAAATGTAATGAAACAACTAGTTTTTTTCTTTAAGAAATTTAGCCTAGGCAATTTACCCTGAATTGTTTCCACCAACAGGAGGAATTTCTGTCAGGAAAACTGCAGCTGCATGGTCCGTTTAAAATATAATATAAAAATCCTGTGCATTATATCCATTGCATTGCCTGATCATGAATGTTAGGTAGTGATACTCACAGGTCGGATCCCTATTGCCGCTCCCTTTCAGCGTTCTGTCATTTTGAGCTTATTTGGACTTGCTCCTCTCTGGTGGGGCAAAATGATGCTTAAGAAGCATAAATGAGCTGGTCATACAACTTCATTGTGCCTCTTTGATGATACTCGGTGGCCCTTATGTCTGTTCAAAGTGCTCTCAAAGTTTCTAGAAAGAGTGGAATTCCCTACTGACGCAAAATAGTCATATGTGGTCAGAACAGCTGATGTGCAGAACAAAACGGTGTATTCACACCTGTATATAGTTATCACAAAGGACTTAATCATAAATATGTGGCGTCGTTTTATTCATGTATGCAAGTTACTATAAAGAAAAGTGCATTTTCATGAATTATTTCCCTAAAATGTCAATGACTATTGTTTGCTGGTTTAGGAGTTTTGCTCCGCCCCCTGTGTTTGTCGTAAACCTGGCTCCTGGCTCCAATAAACCCGGGCTAAGAGCGCCCTGGGCTCGCCTCCTTCTCCAAGGCGATCAATAGGATCTCAGGCGCACTACAAGCACTCTCTTACGTAGACATCCACCAAGGAGAGAGCCGATACAACAACACGGTTGATCTGCTCAAACACAAAAATCTACCTGCTTTCTGAATCATGTCGTTGAGCCCAAAGCACACAACGCCTTTTTCAGTGACAGATATTTTGAGTCCAATCGAGGAGACCTACAAGAAGTTTGGTGGCATGGACGGCGCAGGGAACCTAACCTCTCCACTGGGAGCCTACCGACAGCCTCAGGTGTCTCAGACCGGCATGCAACAGCACTCCATGGGCCATAACGCCACCGTGGCCACCACTTACCACATGCCGCATACCGTCTCCCAGTTCTCCCACAGCGCAATGGGGGGATACTGCAATGGAAGCATTGGCAACATGGGAGACCTCCCGTCGTACCAGGAAAGCATGCGGAATAGTGCAGCAGCAACAGGGTGGTACAGCGCCAACCCTGATCCAAGATACTCCACAAGTAAGTTATTTACTCCATTTATATACTCTTTTCTGAATTTATTTCATCCTAAATAAAAATATTAAATTGACATTGGCATAATATATAATATGTATCACTTTTTAAAAATATAGAATTTATATTTTGGGGGTAATGATAAACAGTTAATGCTAATAATGTAATTTAAACTGACCATTTATGACGGTTAAACTGAAAAGGAGATCATTTTTTCAAGTCTGGCTTGACTTTTTTATCTTTGGCATAAGCCAATATTTAGAAGCAAGATCTGGATATGTTTCGTTATTATTATTATTATTATTATTATTATTATTATTATTTATTATTATTATTATTTTTGAAATATGTTTTTTTAAGCTGATGCTTTCTAACTTCAGTAATGAACGCATAATACAGCCACTAATCAATAAAGACTACTTCAGGCGAAACAGTGTTCTCCTCTTCTGTTTATTGAACGCACGTATATGTATGTATATTTTTAAGTTTCTAGATTCATGGGACCTTCCACAGGTATGAACATGACCGGCATGGGGGGTCTCACCGGAATGGCGGACGCCACCAAATCCATGCCAGCTCTCCACGCTGCGCCCAGGAGGAAACGGCGCGTCCTGTTTTCGCAGGCTCAGGTCTACGAGCTGGAGAGGAGGTTTAAGCAGCAGAAATACCTGTCAGCGCCTGAGAGAGAGCACCTGGCCAGCATGATTCACCTGACACCGACCCAGGTGAAGATCTGGTTTCAGAACCACCGGTACAAGATGAAGCGCCAGGCCAAGGACAAGGCAGCGCAGCAGCTGCAGCAGCAGCAGCAACAGGACGGTAACCTGTGCCAACAGCAGGCGCAGTCCCCGAGGCGCGTTGCCGTGCCAGTTCTGGTGAAGGACGGTAAACCGTGCCAGAACGGCTCTAACACGCCGACGCCGAACCAGCAACAGGTACAACAGAGCCAACAACAAAGCCAACAACAGAACGGAGCCGGAGTTGTGCTCGCATCCTCGACCAGCAGCCTCAGCCAGCATCAAAGCCAGCAGCAGGTGAACGCTTTGGAGCTGGAGGAGATGTCGCCCAGCCCCCCCTCACTGCACAGCCAGCTCAACATGGCCCAGATAGACACATCTGCTGTAGATTACACCAGTAACATGGTCAGCTCAAACCTCCTCTACGGCAGAACGTGGTAGGACTTACTACAATACTGTCACTTTTCAACTTTTTCTATGTGAACCTGCGGATGAGCCCATGCAAGAGCATATATATATATATATATATATATATATATATATATATATATATATATGCTGAAATTGCGGGGCCCTTTGGTGTTGGAGGGACAAAGCGCACAGAGGCGCACCAGCTGATCAGGGCACATTTTCTTGACATCTCTAAGAGGGGAGTCTATTTTTGAACATTACAGAAATGGCTGCCCTTGAAAGCAATTATTTCGTTTTTGGACCTTTTCTAATCCATGTTTTGGACCTTCCTCATGATGTTTTAAACGTAGTCTATGTTGTTGAAACAAAAAGGAATGCTGCTTCACTTGAGTGCGAACTGGGGGGAGAGGTGGGATCAGGTTTGAAGTACACTAGCCACCACTCCTTATTTGCGGTGATATCCTGGTATTTTATCATATTAATATTGTAAACTAATGTATTCATTTAGACTTATTAAATAAAGTAGGGACTTGTATATTTGGCTAACACACAAGAATGCGTTTAACTGTATAATAATCGTTATTGCGTCCACTTTTATGTTTTCTTTATTCTTTTGTAAGTTAAAAAGGAACAAATGCGTGATGGCTGCTGTATATGTTTCAAAACCAAGTGAACGTTAACAATAAATAACTTGAAGTGTGAGAGCTATTCCTGAAGAAGTAATTTTTTAAAAGGAATCTGTTTTGGAGTGCATTTTCATTATGTTGTGATTGAGACCAAATTGAGCTGGAAAGCAAGGTCGATGAGGGAGCCAGCATTGTTCATGTGACATTTTGGAGGGCTGCCTTTCATGGAGGATGTCTGCAAGACTCTAGGACCGGGAAATCACCCTCAAAAAATCACCGACACTTTCCAGCAGGTTTAATAATGACGTGAATTTATGCATTCACATATACGTAGGGCGATAATTCTTTTTTTTACACTCTTCAAACATGTTGATCTCACTGTGTTTAATAGGCCCAGACCTTCGTTTTGCCGCAAGGTAATTGGTCAATTTCATTGTGAATGCGAGCTTCCATAAAATACACAATGACTAATAATTACTGTAAGAACGAATATATTACAGTACATCCTTCGCATAGTTATTATGCTACATTAAATGTAATTACTATCTAATTATAGGGTACATTAATATTATTATTGTTATTATTATTATTATTATTATTATTATTATGCACAGGGCTCATTCGGTTTGCTAAATTTATCAAAATAAAGGTTTCTAATATCACTTTAAAATAAATAAACAGAACAACAAATAAACTTTCTTAATGTAACTTTGAACTCCTTAACATTTATCTCAAATTCTTCGCTTTTCGCTAAAACTGAATTTTAACGTAAGTGAAACTGTATGGGAGTCAGTTACGTGTTTCGTGTATTAATATTTAGTATTAGCGCACTGTTAGTGATATTAAAATAAGAACATGCTACTATCATCCAAATGAACTACAACATGTCTAATCCTTAAAAATCTGAACTTGAAAGTCAAATCTTCTTTGTTTTAAACCTATTTCTTGTAATAGTTCCCGATCCAATTATTGTTTGACAAAATATGTCACAAACCTAATTAACGTATTAAGGCTTCCAAAGAATGTCCCCAAAGTTAATAAAAAATACTGCAAATGATTATGTATTTACTGTTATTTTGATTTTAAATGATAGTTATATCGTTTTTTCTACCTCATGCATTGAAACACTAAGCAAAATACCCAGCAGCACTTTGTCACACTTTTTTGTCATTCACACACACACACACACACACACACACACACACACACACATACACACACACACACACACACACACACACACATACACAGGCTTCACTCTGATCAATCTCTTTAGAAGATGAATGATTTGTGCAAACAAACTCCAAAGTGTTTAAGGTCATCACTTAGCATCAGAGTCGTCCCCCTTTTGCTTCTGTCCTCCAAAACCTTTTTTACACCAGCAGTGGCTGATAATAGGATCTAACATTTCATTTCCTGTGGTCATTTAAACATGTTTGAAAATTACTTCTCAATCCCCTTGTTGATGACACCCTGTGATGATGATGATGGCTATCAGTGTGTCTCAATGGAGACCTTGGAGAGCCCCCATTTCCAACCCCTTCACATACCTGGCAGCTGTATGTATATGTGCTATCATCCCTACACTCGAAGGAAGTATCAGAGCCAATATGCACCTGACATTCGGAATTGGGCGCTGCAACTCCATCAGAAGGGAGTTTGATAAGAGCATTAAAAAGAGAAATGCATTCCACAATATACACTTTGATGCTGCAAGATGTTGATAGATTTTGTCTCTAAATTGAGGGCATGAATGAGCTGTCAACAAAGGTTCTGATAGTGTACCACATGAAATGAAAGTGGAGGTGAAGCCATTCTTTTCTCTTTTCAATAGCCATAGTTATGGTGCACTAATAGGCTATGCTTGGTAATCACTTGCTATTGTGCCTGTTGCTTCTCTCAGTTTATTGGGGGGTACCTCTCTTTGTAAGGATATATGAGACAGGCTGGGTACTGTAATTGGTGCTGGCATCATCATTTCTACCTGAAAAGTTTGGTGTACTGTGTGGTGTTACGTCCTTTTATGTAGTCGCAGAACCAGTTTAAAGGTTGTCTGTGTTAACTACATCCACACCCACATGCACGTGCTCATGCATGCATATAATTAGATGCATATATGCTCATGTGCATGCACATGCAGCTCACATTCACAAACACAAACAAAGCAACTAAATAAGTCGTACATGATAAAAAAAATTGCCTCTCTTACACAAAGCAGATATTTCTGTCAGAGCTTGAAGGGGTCTATCACTACCTCAATGCCATGTATTCCTAGAGCAGCAGCAGAGGATAATGTATTTCACTGATGTAAAGAATTTTTTGACTATTCTTCTCAGGTAATTGCAGATTGCACTGCATAATGTGAAGCCTTGCTTCAGTCTCTGCAACACCCCCCCCCCCCCCAACTCCCTTCCTCCCCATTATACTTAATATGTCAGAAGGTCTGATCGCAGAGAAACCTTTTCAAGTCCTATTGATGTGTTCCTCAATTGACCATGGCGACCTAGCAACCTAGAGAGCGCTAATTGGCAAGGGCTTAACATTATTGGCTGTATAGTTTACACGGAAACATAGGCCAAACATATAACCATAATCATACGTCACAGTACACTATTTTTTAGTTTTGCCAGTACAACAGGAGGGGAAATTGTTTTGTGTTGTTGGCAATTACAGAAAGCTAAAAGCTGGCCTAGTTTCTGAGTGGAACATAGTGGGTAAGATTTTTTTTGAAGACACAGGTATGGAAGGATGTGGCTCTACTTTGCAGAGAAGGTTTTATATTATTGATTTTTTGTATCCTAACATAAATGCATGTATATAATATATACAGACATCATTAGCATATATTAAGCATGTAGTGATATCCAAAGTTGTTGTTTTTTTCCTCCACAAGTTCCACCACCTCCTCTCTTCTTCCTTCCCCAGAGTCCCCAAATCTTGCCCCATGTGAAATGACTAGGAGAGGAGAGGTCCGCTTTTCATTTCACCATGCGAATGAATGCATTGAATTGGCAAGCTCTCAGAGACACAGAGCGCAATTTTAATTAGTGTATTGCCCTGGTATTCTGCCAAGGAGAGACAATCTTTCTCTTTTCTGTGACAAATCTGTGCCTGCCCCAGGGAGCAAGAAGTTCCCTAATTCCAGTCATTTTCAAATGGAAAAAATAGCCTGCAAATAATCATCTTCCTACAGAGTGAAAAAAAAACATTTCAAGAAGGTCATAGGACTCTGAAAGCAATTCTCACTCTAATAGATTTCCATGAAATTAAATACATGAAACCACATTTTTACCGTTGCCTTTGGTTTGACGATAACATGAACTCAAATGCACATACAGACACACATGCACACACACAATTATATGCTATTCCAGGACTTGCACTGGCTAATTCCATTGCTTACTATGAATACCATTTTAGCAATACCAGGGATTGCAGGGCCAAAGCAACCTTTTGAAGACTATTCACAAATGTCTGTAGAGTGGGGTGGGGGGTGCAGAGGATGAAGGATGGAGGACCAGGTTAGGAGTGTGTGTGTGTGGTGGGGGCAGCATCCCTTATTAGAAAACCATGTCACATTCTCTCCTGCGCCGGCCGGACTCGCTGTGCTGCCAGTAATCCCCCCTCCAAGTCCCCCTATGCATGTTATTCAATTCGCTCATAAGTAGTTAGAGAAACTGTTTTCAGTTGCCACTAATAACTACTGACCTCCAGTGACACAGGACAACAATAGGTTTGTCAGGCCTGAAACGCACAACCAAAGAAGCTGATTAGGAACTCAAGAGGTTTGAAGCAAGAATCAATGGCAGCTCTGTCCTGCCATGGTGCTTCCAGCATGGCACTGATGATTGTGGGACCTCCATTAGTTATGCCTCATTAAGTCCCACAAACTCTTCTTTAAGAAAATTTGTTTAGCCAATTCAAAAATCTTACGGCCGTGGAGCCCCTACTGAGGTGCCACTGTGCACAGACTCCAAGACAGGAGAGTTTCGAGAAAGACCTGCTTTACTGTGTAATAACGTAATGAGACATGGGCGAAAGGCTGTGACATTAAGCACATTGCACTTAAACAATGTGCATACTTCCTTTGAAATCACTACATTTGAAGGCAAAATGAAACATTTACACACATTCTGATCGCTCTCTTTTTAAATTCTTCATATATGCCTTTCCTTTTTGTATAAATGACAGAGGCTGCTAAAAATGCACCAGTAGGCCTCTGTACAATTTCAGTGTCTCACACAGTACGTTGGTGCAATTTAGATGTTTTGCCATTTTACACTTGCAGAACTGCAATGAGTCAGAGCCTCCGTAAAGGAACACAAACTAAATGTGAGGACAGACTAAGCGATAACAATAATATCAACATAAACATAATATTGCCAGAAGAAATTTCATGTATTATGATTACTTTAATTTTCAGGATTTCCAAAAGAATGTGCTTTCATACAAAAATGTCTGAC